AGTGGAGCCCTCATGAACGAGATTAGTGTTTCTATAAAAGAGTCCCCAGAGAGCTCCCTCGCCCCTTCCCTTCCACCATGTGAGGATAAACAGAAAGAAGACAGCCATCTATGAACCAGGAAGTGGGCCCTCATCAGACACCAAGTCTGCCGGTGCCTTGATTTTAGACTTCCCAGCCTCCCTAACTGTTGTTTAAGCCACCCAGCCTGTGGTATTCTGGTTATGGCAGCTCGAACAGACTGAAACAGATTGGAGTCACCAATGAGTTATGTATATGAGCATCTGATCCTGACTAGCACAAGAACTTTGAGAAGAGAACTAACAAATACACCACCACCCATGTCCCAGCTGACCACCAGGTAACCCAAATCTGAGACAAATCTGAACAGTGCTGCAAAGGCTTGAAGACCTGAGCTGGCATTGGAACCACAGCCCATAGAAAATGGGTTGAAACTTGCAGCCTTAACCTAGTCAGATAAATTGTCTGTTAAAAAAAAATTAATATTCACTACAGGGTTTAAACAAGACCCAGAGTCATAAATCCAATATATCCAGGATACAATCCAAAATGACTCAGGTTACAAAGAACTAGGAAAATTTCAACTTGCGTGGGAATAGAAAATCAATAGACACCAATACCATGATGACACAGATGTTGGAATTATCTGCAAAGACTTTAAAACAGCTATTATATAAATTCTTAAACACTTACAAACACTCTTAAAACAAATGGAAAAACTAAAAAGATTCAGCAAATAAATAGAACCCAAAGGAAATTTTAGAAATGAAAAATAAAATGCTCAAAATAAAAAACTTCACTGGGTAGGCTCAAAAGAATAGAGATGACAGAGAAAGATTCAATGTACCTGAAGATATAGCAATAGAAATTTTCCAAGCTGAACAACAGAGAAAAAAGATTTTTAGGAAAGTGAACAGAGCCTCAGGGTCCTGTAAGTTAATAGCAGGAGGTCTAACATTCACATCAGGAGAGGACAGTGTGGTGCTGAAAAACTGTTTGCAGATATAATGACAAAAAACTTCCCAGGTATGACAAAAAACATAAACAGAGAGAGTTAAGAAATTCAGCTAACTCCAAACAAGACAAAACCAAAGAAATCTGTGCCCAGACATCATAAGCAGCCTGCTTAAAATGACAAAGAAAAAATTCTTAAAAGCAGCCAGAGAAAAATTATGCATTACCTATCATCAGGCAATGATTTGGTGATAGCAGGTTTCTCACCAGAGCCATAGAGATTAGAAAAAAGTGGCACACGTTTTTCAAATGTAGAAAAAACTGTTAATTCAGATGTTATTTAGGAATAAAGGTGAAATAAAAATATTCTCAGATGAAGGAAAATTAAGATAATTTATTGCCAGTAGATCTGCTCTAAAAGAAAAAAAATTTTAAGGTTCTTTAGACAGAAAAGAAATGATACCAAAAAGAAATTTCAGAATGTTTCTTTAGAAAGGAAGATTATTCATTCCATTTACATTTAATTAAATGATTTATGTACTTGAATTTAGGTTTACCATTTTTTGACTTGTTTTCTGTGTGTTCCCTGTTTTCCTTTTTCTCCCTTCTTTTAGGTTTTGAACCCTTTTAGTATTCCATTCTAACTTATCTATGGCGATTTTGACTCTCTTTGTATAGTTTTTTTTTTATAGTTAGTTTCTCTAGGGATATAATTTTCACAGTTCACTTAAAATCAGTATTTTACCACTTCAAGTGGAATATAGAAATGTATATATATTTTACCCTCTCCTTTTATATTATGATTGTCTTATCTCTATCATCTACATATGTTGAAACCCCATCAGAAAATGTTACAGTTTTTGCTTTGAACCATCAAATATATTTTGAAGACTTTAAGAGGAAAAGAATAGCCCATTATATTTACCGAAACATATACCATTTCTGTTGCTTCTTCATTTCCTTCAGTGAAAATATCTAGAACCCTGAAGTGGATGTTTTCCCCTCAGCAGGGCTGACTTTGTTACCAACTGCCGAGAGCCCGATCTGCCTCCCCGCTAGCTAGTGGAACAGCATGAGCAAGGGCACAGAGGTGGCAAGTACAGAATGTGCTTGGGAACAAACAGCAAGGGGCCTGCTTCAATAAGAATGTGGGGTTAGCTGCTGGGTAAAAAGGAAGAGGGAGAAGAGGTTTAAGATCCCATCAGGAGAAATATCTGAGGCAAGGTTGGGTATGAAAAGAGAAGTGAGGGCTTCTTCCCCAAATGGAAATCACAATGAAGTAAGTAGCAGTTACTGCCAAGACCTGTCAAAACTGAAGGGGAGTGAAGATATCCTCCCCTAGCATTATGTTAACAAAAGAAAGAGCCAAACTACAAACTAGTTCTCCCAGTAAACATTCCAAAACTGCTCTTGGAGAAACACAGGGAGCTTGGTATGCTAAAGGACCCAGGAAAATGCATGAATGAGGTCAGTTACAGGTCAAGACAGAAAGGCAAAGGGGAGTTAGGAAGATGAGTTATAACTAAAGAGGCAATCAATGAAGAGACCACCAGAGATCTCCTTTTGGGAAGACGTAGAGCAGGTATTCATCAGCATCAGTAAGATGATTCACAGTAAGGGCAAAGGCTGAAAGTGAACTCATAATTTAATGAAAGGTTTCTAGAAAAACAATGGATTTCTCCCCAAATACTTAAACATCCTAGAAATAGAGAATTCTGTCCTGATGATACAATTTTGACACATAGAAATAGATACGTGCCCCATAAATTATCTCCTGCACCCTTTAGAGAGACAGACATTTCTGCGCCAATAAAAATAAGAAAGATCAGTAATGATTTCTGATTATCTGTGGCCAGAGAAAAGAAAAGGAATGATATTGTACTGTGTCCTTGGAAAGGCTAGCAATGGAGCAAAGTTGCTCACTTGGTTCACTTAATATATCCTCTGAGCATGATAAATTGATTTCAAAAATATAGGTTTGATCATGGGGATGTAAAGTACAGTATAGGGAATATAGTCAATAATATTGTAATAACTATGTATAGTGCCAGGTGGGTACTAGACTTAACGGGGGATCACTTTGTAAGTTATATAAATGTATAACCACTATGCGGTATACCTGAAACTAATATAATACTGAATGTCAACTATAATTGAAAATTTTTTAAAAATTAAAAAATATATATGGCATAGTACAATGTCCCAAACAAAGCTTTAGACTTAAGGGGCTGTCATTTCATTTTTGACTAGTGACAGAATTTCGTTGTAGAAAGCTGTTTGATTTAATCATCATATCCACTTCCACACAAGATTTTAAATGTAGGGCTCTTTCCTGAATTTTAATACCTTTAGCACTTTTTCATATATCCACATCTTTGCATGTGACCCCTGACCTTAATTCTACACAATCACCTGACCCTCCCTTTCTTACCGTATTTGCCGGCGTATAAGACGATTTTTTGGCCCTGAAAACTATGCCTCCAAGTGGGGGGTCGTCTTATACGCCAGGTACACTTCAGATAGACTGCCCATAGTGCTTGCCCCGTGCCATAGTGGCCTCCCGATGCCCGCCCACTTCATTCCACATACCGTTCAGGCATCAGCAGCGCTGCTGGGTGCATGCTCGGCTGTTATGCGATTTTGCTGTTATGCGATTTTACCACACTCGCAAAATCGCACACAGCCAACCATATAACAAACTCTGTATTTTGAGTGGAAATGTTAGGGGGTCGTCTTATACGCCGAGTCGTCTTATACGCCGGCAAATACGGTAAGTCTTCAGGGTCTTATTGCTCATAGAATACATCCCAAACTTTCTTCCTCAGGTATTAAAGGCCTGTGTTACGTGGCTTCTGCCAGCCTTTCCATCCTCACCTCATACCACTCTGCCCCTCACCCTCCAGTCATACCAGCCATCTTTCTGTTTCTCTGACCTGCAAGCCATTTATTTCCTGCTCAGGAACTTTGTCCAAGAATTCCTCTTTGCAGAGAACACATGGCTGGTTCATGATCATCCCTCAGGTTTCAGCTCAAATGTCACTGCAACAAAGGCTCTCTGGTCATAACAGATATTGCAAACTGTAATTATCTTTTTAATTGGTACATTTTATTTGTTTACTGTCTACCTTCCCGATGAGGATGTAAGCTCTATGCGAGCAGGGAGTAAGCACAATAGAACCCAAATTACTCTTCAAGTTTCAGCTCAAATTATTTTTTCAATTCTCAGAGATGGCATGTGGTCAATAGTTGGTAAATGAATGCATGAATGAATGAATGAATGAAAAAATAGAATAGGAGTGAAGCAAAAGGCAGTGGTCTTAACATAGAAACATAAATCAGACTGAGACTGAGGAAAAAAAGGATTTCTGGAATAGTGACAACACTCCAAGAAATCTATGGTGTCAAAACTGTAGTTTCGTGGTCTCGTTTATGAACCTTGTAGTTATTTGTTGTAGGATAAGTTAACAGGGCATCTACTGGTTCAGGATGTTACAAAATAAATTTCAAAGTTGTTCACTTGATATTAAAATTGTGTCAATTTAAAAAATCTGACAATACTTGCTACCTCCTTTTATCACAGACCTAATATGGGAGCAAATAATTGAAAAGTTTGCCGCTTGAATAAGGGCATCTAAATAATAATATCTTCAAAAAGACTGTCTTAAAAAAAAAAAGGAGGGGTAAATAAGTCATTGTTTAACATTGAATAGTTAACTATTTCTACCACAAGGAATCCAGTTCTATTAAAGTATATCTCTTAAGGAGAAGGTACCTTGCTATATGTATTAATGTTAAATATTTTGAAAATAACTTGTAAATATAACATCTATTTTGCTTTATAGACTATTAACATTAATAAATAATCAATTAAATGCACTTTAAGGAAGATAATGTTTTAATGGTTTATATCATTCGTAGAAATAAACTGAGACTGCAGAACAGAATGATCCAGTTGTTATTCTCTGCACTTCAAAAGAAGACTGCTATTCTGCTAAGAGCTTTTGTTAATAGAAAGTGCTGACTTCTAATGGACTCACCAAAGAAGCTTAGCCCAACCTACATCCCAGAGTCTCCTCAGATACCCAACGAAGAAGATTCAGCTGGCTCTCAAGCTGTCCCAGAAGTACTAGCAAAGAACCCTAATAACTTGACGCTCAACCCTAGTACCAAACTCCCTTCCCTTCTACCAGAATGTTCACCCCAACAGCAGGACAGAGAAAAGAACTTACAGGGGCGTGGACTGGGGCTGGGTCAAGGCATGCTCTACAGAAGGAGATGTGATGTAAGGACATTGGCAACTGCTAGGAAAGAAAGGATGCAAAGGATGTTACAAGTGATTAGATCCTACACCCTGTCCCTGCTTCAAAAAGACCCGCAGGAGAGGAAAATTGAGATTGAATCACGATTCAGAAGATTTAGATGTAGCTCTCATTATTATATCAGATCCTTCTGATAATATTAGCATGGAGAATAATTATGACATGGAGTCCATTTAGCCATGAACCTTATTCTGGTGCTGTTTTATTTCTTTCTAGTAATTTTAGGATCGTTATGCAGCAGCTTGGGAAAGCTACTCAATGCTAGGATAGACTATATGCCAGTATTTTGATAACCTAGGATATAAGTTCTGTGATGTCTTTTTTTTTTTCTTGCATCTCTTCTTGTCTACTTTGATACCAGTAACTTCTAAGGAATCTATGTAGTTTGCATTTGAATGATTTCAATATACATACTTCAGTTCTATTTTTTTATTTGACCCAAAGAAGCACCAATAGGTCTTGAGTATTGCCTGTGTGTTTCAGAAGCCTTAAGTCGGTAAGGTGAAACCCGACATCAAGAATTAGAAGCAAGTAACTTGTGTGGAAGGAATGTAAAAAAGAAAACATTGGGTGGTTTGGCTAAAGCATAATTAAGAAGGCAGGGTGCATTAACTAGATCCTCTGTTTTTCAAACTTTTGAATTGTAACAAATTCTTTTTGATGTGTTATTTCAATTTTTAGTAGCAAATAAATGTGTGTATAGGGGATCTTATTAATATTTGAGGCATATTTGAGTACTTTAAAAAAAAAGAAAGTGCTAACTGCTGGAGATATTAAAAATATGTATTATTTGTTGAATGGAAGTCCTAATGTCTCTTCTACTTTTTCCCCTCCAAATAATCTGTCAATGGCCTTCATAATAATAACTTACACTTTCATAACACTTTGAGTTTGTTACCCAACCTGTCTCCATTTTAGAAACAAAAGAGCAAATCTAATTGTGAATGTCAAAGATCACTATAATTTTAGAGTTTTTTTGTTTTGTTTTGTTTTGTTTACAAATTGAAAACAGTTCTCTGAGCTATCAAGAAAACACTAAAAATTGAAATCCTTTTTAATGGAAGCATTAAGATCATAAGTTATGTTAGGCAGAGCCATCTCTAAATTATCTAAAAATCGTCTCAGATGAGTAAAACACAGTTCCCAAGAACAGAACACAAGCTCAGCCTAAAGGGCATCCATCAAGTGCACGTGTTGGTTTGTTGTTTTAGGGCTGCTGTTGAGAGCTGTGGTTATAGGAAGGGACTTGTTCCCATTGGCTGCTATAAATAAAATTTGAATTGTATCATCTCTTAAGGGAGGGTTTATAGAAATACCAGGCATAGTTGCAAGTATAGCAATTTATACAAGTGCACCTCTAAATGTATGTCTTGGGATTGTTGCTAAGCCAGGTAATAAGGGGCATCCCCACTTTTGCTAAAGCATATTTGTGTGACAGATTAGACCCTGTTTAGGCACTTATTTACAGGTCAAAGCCTGCAGGCCTTGAAAGAAGAAAGTAGGGAGTTCACCCAGCCAGGCCTCAAGCTCCTAGGCAGCTGTGTAATCCCACTGAACCTGTTTGGCAGCTCGTTCAGTCACTGCTGCAGCTTGCAGATAAGACCCTCTTGGAAAGCCTGATAGCCATTGTCAATAAGAAAACTGCAGAGAGTGACTGGAAATTTCCAAAGCATAGAAACAGATTCTCTGATTTGAGAAAGTCACTACAGAGAGCCCTTTGAAAAAGATTTTTGTTAAGGAAAGAAAGATGACAATTCTTTGCTTCTTTAAGTCGTATGCAAACCTCAAACTTACCTTGATCATAAACAACCATTGTTTGTTTATCTGTTGTATCACTGAGGCAAAATGAGTCATGATAGCCATAGAAACAAGACTAACCTTGGATTTCCGTTGCTTTTTCTGCAATGGGTTGGAAAATGTTATACAAACATGACTTAAATTTCACAACTTCCCAATTAGATAGGTATTGCAGATCTCATTTTTGACATTAGCTTGAGCTTTTTTGCCTCTAGGAAAGCAGAATAGGTCTAGGCTAGGGAGCAAAGGAGTGCCCTACCCACAAGCCATATTAGGGGCTTCCAGCCAGGGGAGGCATTGGAGATGTCTGGTGCTGAGCTGATCCACGGCTCCATACTAACATGTCCCTCTCAGGGACCAGAGAGCGTTCCAGTGTCTCTACTTTTTACTTTTCGAAACTCTGGTCACTAAACACAGACTGTGTTTATTAAAACTAGATATCAATAACCCTCTCATTGTGAAAGAGAATAAAAGTTACTGGAACATAATACTGAAGAAAACCATGAAGATGTTTCAGTCGAAGAAGAAAGAAAAAGGCTGGATAGACAATGGTAAGATGGCTGGAATGTGGAAGCCCAAGGGAGTCAGAAAAAAGAAAAACGTGGTGTATGTGTCTAGTTAAGCTGTTTGAAACAGTGCCCTATCTCACCGTGTCTAATCACTCATGGATTTATTCTGATAGTGCTTTTCACTGCTAACTCTCCTTTCCCTATAATACCACTTTTTAGTGTATGGGGTAGAGTTCCTTTCAGGATTATGATTTAGCTTTTCATTTTCTAAACAGCTTTTCACCTGTTTAAAATAAGTTACATGTACGTGTGAATGGACTCACAAAATAATAACTGAAAAGGCTATAAATTCTTTGTGCTGACTCCATAGTGAGACAAAGTGCTCTAATAATAAGTTTGTTGTAGTAATTTGATTACCACAAAGTACAATCAAATTTCAGGAAGAAGGTGGGGGAATAAAACCATTAAATAGCAGGTCCTGGAGGAAAACACCAGGACATAAGGATGTGGGCCATTGAAAAAAGAAAATTAAAAGATTTCATTAAAAGTGTGAAAAGAAAATAGATCTTTTAACAAATATTACTCTTTTGAATCACAATGAAAAATTTCTCTCTCAAAAAGAAAAACTCAGATCAAATGAAAATTAAGAATTTTGCTACATTTTTGTTACCTATGGGAGAAAACTGGAAAAAAGAATCTTTAAAAGTTACTTAAATATCTTTGTTTTAAATAAAATTGAAATAAATTAAATTATTCAATATTATTTAAATATTTCCATGACAACATTTCAAGTTTCTTCCTAAATTAGTATCCAATTTAACTAGAAGTTTGTTGAGGATTTTCATTAATTAATTTATTTTCCCCATAATGAAAACAGTTTTATGTTTTTCTGATTATATAAGTAATAGTTTTAAAAATCTAAAAATAATATATAACCACATAAGTAAAAAAGTAATAATGTTCTGAAATCTCATCATCTTGCCTGAGATAACCACTGTTTTTCTTTTTTTTTTTTTTAAGATTTTATTGGAGAATTGGGGGAGGGGTACTGTGTTGGGGAATTGGGGAAGGGGACCAGCCAAGTTGTTGTTCTTCAGTCTTCATTGTGGAGGTTGCCAGTCGCCATTTGGCTGCCTGTCGGCAGCTCGTGGCCTCTAAGCTAAGGTGCTGTGGTTCAGTCTTAGTTGCAGGTGGGCATAGCCACCATCCCATGCAGGAGTCCAACCGTTGTTAAGAGCGCACGCTCTATCCACTGAGCCATCCAGGCAGCAGCTCAGTTCAAGGTGCCGAGTTCAGTCTTAGTTGCGGGTGGGTGTAGCCCACCATCAAACAGGCAATCTTGTTACACCAGCTGAGCCATCCTGCCACCTGTTGGCAGCTCAGCAACAGCTCAGCTCGGGTGCGGTGTCACTGGCCTATGTGGGAACTGAACCGGTGGCCCTGTTGCTCAGAGCTCGCACTCTTAAGCTAACTCTTAACCAACTGAGCCGTTCGGCCAGCCCAAGATTACCACAGTTGACATCTTGGTGCCCATCCTTTTATGCATCTCATGTATCTATATACAACTTTATGTAAATAGAATACATATGTGCTATTTTTATTGTGGCACTTAAAAATAAAAAAATATATATATTGCTTCATTGGTTGTTTTTTCATCCCAGGGAATCAATATAAAAATACGATATGGAAGTGTGTTTTTCTTTCCACATGCTCATATAATCAGATACATTCATGCTGTGGTGTGTGTGTGTGTATGTGTGTGTGAGTGTGTGTTTGTATGTGATAGACACTAAATTTCATCTGTCTCATCCAAACTATGTCATGAAGATCCCTCCACAAAAACTAGTATAATTCTAAACTCATTCTTTTTAATGACTGAATAGTTTTTTCATTGTATGGATGACCCATAACTTAATTAATCATTTTTCTATCTAATGTCTAATTTTTTAAAGTTATTTTCACTGGCAAACAAGGATGCAATAAACATCCTGTATGTATAGTCTTTCATACTGGTGCTTTTGTTTAAAAGGAGAAATTCTTCCTATGAGTGGGGTTGCTAGAAACAGGGTATGTATATTTTTATTTTTAATTTTGCTTTTCAAAACAATGTAATAATTCACATTTCTGCTAGCAATGTGTGAGAGTGCCCCTTTCCACATATTCCTAAAAGCAATAGCTGTTACCTTTCTTTTTTATTTTTGCCAATCTGATGTCTGTGAATGGAATATCTGGTTGTTACTTTAATTTGCAATTCCCCGACTCTTTATGAGGCAGGCATCTTGGAGGAGAGATTTAGTGGCTGTCTTGGATTTTCTCTTACATAAATTGCCTTCTACATTCTTTACCCATTTTCTATTAGGTTACTTTTTTTTAAAAAACCTTTGTTAGTAAAAGCTTTAAAACTTACAGTAAAACTCTCACCCTTCATTTTTCACATGCATTGGAAATATTTTTCCTAATTTATCATTTTCTATAGAATTTGTGGTATTTTTTTCCACTTCATATATTTGAGTAGTTATCTTACCTTTACTTTTACAGCTTCTGGGGGGCTCCATCATTGCATGATGCTACCAGCTCAACCAGTGGCTTTAGGGGATGAGACCAGGAAAATGCACACCCACTGTAAAATACCTTGCACCAGATGTGATATACATTACTTTGACTCAATGTCCCTTGATTAGAATTAGTTGTGAAGCCTTGCCCAAATGCAAGAGGGCTGGGAAGGATAGTCCTTCCGTCTTTCTAGGAAAGAGAATCACAGAGGCAAATAGTAGTTGTCTCCACCACATCCATTCACCTCACCCTTTGCAGTAATTTCAAACTGTTGT